TTATATTTTTGAAATGATGCAACTAATATAAATTCTCTAGCATTTAATATTTAGTGAGTAATATTTCTTTTCCAGCAAAGATTTCAGTCATTCCTAGCTAAAAACCGAATAACTTTCAATATGATACCCATTAAGAAATAGCTAGAACATATAAAATTACATGTGTGCATTTTAGAGATGCTAATTTTTTTTTTAGTTATTCACTAGGTGATTAAAACAGATTTACTTCAACTCAAACACATTAAAAACTCTACGTTTAATTATAAAATCAATTAACAAAGTTCAATCTAATATTAATAAGCCCTAGCAAAATATTCTTCCACTCATACACTACTATGAAACTTTATTTATCAAGTATTATACCAGAAATAACTCATCACTTAGTACCGAGATATAATTTTTCCTTTGTATAGAGTTTTGGCTTTTATAACCACTTCTTTACCACAATTCTTCAAAAAGTTACCAGCTTTCTTAAGAGAACTTCTATAACAAAAGTATACTATATTAAGATTACTTATTTTTTAAAAAATCAGTTTCTGTAATAGATTTCAAACAGCAAACAATTAAACAGCATTATTAAATGTTAGAAACAAAGAACAGAAAAGGGCATGATCACATGTGGCTCAAGCTCACAAAGTCAGCATTACCTGAAATACACTGGTATAATAATTAACTAAGTGCCTGGTGGGGAAAAAGGTTAAGTACTTGACCACTTATCAAAAGGTTCAAATCCACCCACTCTACTTACAAAAGTTCACAATTTTGAAAACCCTACTCTTCACATCTAGGGTTACCTTGAGTCAGATTCAACTTCATGGCAAATAACAGTAGTAACTACTAGAACCACTTTAACTTTCAAAAGGAAATATTCACATCTAACTAACACAAGGTTCCTTATGCTAAAAATCCCTAAGAGATCTAAGTTTTTGAAACTTTGTAATTTTTAATCATTGTGTTTGATAAAGTTAGAAATTAACAAAACAAAATGCCAACAGTGAAAAGAAAAAGACAAACAGAAAGCCTACCGTGAAAGTAAAAAGAAGATTCACTTGTTGATTTTGCTTACATTAAAAAGATCCTTTAAAAAGACCCTTGGGACATTTCACCAAAGAAGACCAAAAAACAAAGATGGCCAATAAACATGTGAAGAAATGTTCAAAACCCCTAGCTCTAAGAGAGAAACAAATCAAAACAACTGTATCAACTCACTCCAGTAAGAATAGCAAAATTTAACAGAACAGCAAACAACAAATGGCTGGCAAGGTTGTGGAGAAACTGGAACCCTAATTCAATATTGGTGGGAGTGTAAAATGGTGCAGCCAATATGGAAGGCTGTATGGAACCTTCTCAAAAAGTTGCAAATAGAAACACCATTTGACCCAGCAAGTCTACTACTTGGAATATACTCCAAAAAAACCCATAACCACCACCCAAACAGATATACGCAAATTCATGTTTATCAAGGCTTTGTTCACAATAGTAAAGAGTTGGAAACAACCTAAGTGCCCATCAACAAACAAATGGATAGAGAAGATCTGGTATATTCACACACTGAAATACTATGCTACATTGAAAAACAAAGAACTCATGAAATATTACTCAAAATGGGTGACCATGGAGGACATTATGCTGAGTGAAATATCTCAGTTACAAAAGGACAAATACTGAATAGTGCTACGGCTGTAAAACGGGAATGACATAGAGATTGGGGGAGACAGAGTAAAAGGGGATAAATTAAGTATACGGCATTGAAACAGACGAAAGAAAGAACTATTTAAAAGGGATATGTGATTGGGTTTTATTGTCATGACAGGAGTCCAGAACAAAGGCTATGTAGTGGAGTGGACTTATGGGGAGGGATTATATAACAATGAAAGAATTTTCTTTTACTTTTCCAAGAGAGGAACAAACTGGAGGGGAGGGGTGGGCAGGTAGAAAAGTGCAACAATGAATAAACAGAAATCCAAAGTCTCTGTAAATTTTCATTAAAATTAGTAATAATAATAATAAAATTTAGATAAATAAATAAATAAAGATCCTCGGCTAAACTCACTTCCTGACTTGAGAACAGGTTTTAATAAACCCTTTTAGCATTCTACTAACTTTTTAGAAGAAAAAAATCATTAAAGAAAGAAATCTAAACTAATATGTTAATTTATAGAAAATTTAAGTGTCTTAGAAGACTTGGAAAAATACCAATAATATAAATGCCAAAGAATCTAGAAAACCAGGGGTCAGTCACATTGAAGATACAGTAAATAATTTAAAAATGAAAATACATTTAAGCCTCTTCAAAACAAACTCTACAAGACTTGAGAAACAGATTTAGAGAATAAAAGGAAATGTGAGTAAAATTATATAAAAAATAGTGAAGAAAAACAGATGCAGTCAAAAGTGGATCACAAACCATTGAGAAAATAAAACTGAACTCAAAAGTTAATAAAAGGAAGAAGACAGAAGATAGGAGATAAGAATTAGACATATCTGGCACTAAAGTGTGAATGGAACTGTAAGCCTAAGACTGGATCAATTTCAAAAAGGAAACTACAATAGTTTATAGACAAGACTGATTTCCTGTTGTTTATATAATTTGGCAGTATTTTATAAAACATGTAAATTACTGTTTAGATGTCATCAATTGATGCTTGCTTAGATATGACAGAGGATTGAATAAGCATAACAATTAATGCTCTAGAAATTTCTATAACACAAATACATATCAAATAATATGCTTGGAAAAACTCTAATAATCCTATAAATGTAAATATACTACTCTAGAATACTATAGTCATGTAGGAGAGATGCGCAATCTCCTCCCAGATGACTAACAACATCCTCTGAGAAATGCTGGAGAGTCAGGTATGAGTTTGTTTCAATTTGAAGGAATATAACAACAACATTTGAATTATATCTATGTAAGGAGTCTAATTTACTAATATTTGTATAACAGTCAAGTTACAACCAAAAAGAACTTCTGTTGATATACTTACTACATAAAATAATCTCTACAAAGTTAAAATTTTATTTAAGAATTTATTTTTATTGCTGCCGTTGAAAATATGTACAATAGAACACCTAACAGTTTAATAAATTCTATACATCCAATTCAATAACACTGATTACATTCTTAGAATTATGCAAACACTGTCACTTTCTATTTACAAACTGCTTTTCTCTCATTAAAATAATTTTAGAAGCTTCCTATTTAATCTTTCAAGTCATTGTTGTCAGTTTCTCCCATACAGGTAATTCTTTTAAAACAGCACAATACTCAAGACAGATATGATTTACCAGGAAATTAAACTTCTGTTTCCTTTCAAGTTTTCAGAGAATACTCTTGGTTTAAAGGTTAAAGACTATTTCAAAGCAATGGTTTCCGTGGTTAATCCAGCTTCAACTGCTCCACGAAGTCTGGATTCTATAAGAATTTTAGATTCTGACTTGTATTTTCCTTATGAAATTCTACTATAAAATATTTTATCACAAGATTTTTTTCTTCCTTCTATAAATTCTTTTATCAAAAGTTTCAATAATGGAAACAGGGCGTCACCCAGTTCTCGTTTTATAGCAAAGGAGGTAATTACTCATAGTAGGGTGAAATATGACATTCTACATAAAAATACCACATTACGTATTTTTCATTAAGGAAGCACTTCAGACAACTAAAAACTATGAAAGCAAGGTCATAAAACTTTGAAACCATACAAATTGTTTCTCATACCTTGTAAAATCTGTCTGCTGGGTCCTGATGTCTCTTTAAACGAGGGGCCATCTGTAGAGAGTTAAGTAAAATTATTTTAAAATATGCTTCAATTCCCAATTCAAATTTTTCAAGTCTGAGTATTTCTCATTTAAATATATCATGAAAAATATACGACTGTACAGCTATATCAAACCTGAAAATTATATTTTAAAATTTAATATAGTAATTTAGTAAAGATAAACCTAAGCAATTTCAAAATACATGACAGGCACAAGGTACTGATAAAATCAATATATTAAGCAATCTAGTAAAAGGAAAAAAAATGTCAGCAGTTGACGTGTTTGGAATCACAGAAGCCAAGAAAGCTTAAGATACAAACTGTCAGATCATGGGGTGGACAATGGAAGATATTTTCTGAAGGGACTTGG